GGTTTAGGGTTTAGGGTTTAGGGTTTGGGGGAGCGTTTGGGGGGGAGCGTGTGGGGTTTCGGGGGAGGGGTTAGGGTTTGGGGGTTAGCGTCTGGGGGTTCGGGTCTGGGTTTGGGGTTTGGGGTTTAGGGTTTGGGGCTTAGGATTTAGGGTTTAGGGTTTGGGGCGGGGCTCACGGGTAGGGACACAGGGGCAAAAGGTGCCATCCGGGGCGCAAGGCGGGGGCCCCTGGGGGTAGTTGGCCATGGCTGGGAGGGGCCCCTGCAGCCCCTGGGGCGCTGGGGCGCTGCGGGTTGGGGACCTGGAAAGGGAATTTTGCGGAGATTTGGAAGCAACTGAAGAGCAAAGGGCCCCCGATTAAGCTGCTGCTGCTGCTGCTTGCAGGGGGAGAGGAGAAAGAGGGAAAAGCCGCGAAAGCGGCGGCCAAAACGCTGCAAGAGAACACCTGCTGCTGGCCCGGGCAGCGCGGACACAGGGTAGCGGCCAGAGCTCGACTGAGACTGTTTCCCCGAGTTCCGAGGCTCTGCGCCCCTTTAATAATCCACAAATGCTAAATTTTGTCGAAGCCGAAGGCAGATTCAATGGAGGCTCCGCGGCAAAGCCCGAAACGCCTCATGTGTGCGCATGGCATGGACCACCAGGCCCACACCAGTCCGCAGCGCCGCCGCCCCGCAGCTCCACTGAAGCAGCAACAAACTCCTGAAAAATCAAAAATAATTCATGCTTTCTACATTTTTAATGCTGTTTTGAGCGGGGGAATTCCAGTTAGAGGCTCGGGTGCGAAGCTGTGCAGCCGCTGGGGTGTACATACACCTCTGCGATGGCGAACAGTTCCAGCAACGGAATCCGGCGGAAAACGGCGCATTTCGCAGGAACTGCGCCTTTTTTTTGAGACGAATGCATTTAATTTGCAAAATATTGAAAGTATAATGCGCGAGTTGAGGCTGTTGGCGGCGATTTTGTGCGGGTTTCCGCTGGTTTCCGGTCCGGGCCTGCCGGACGGCGGCGCCGCCGCAATTCCCATCAAGTCTAACTGCCGCTGCTGCTGCTGCCACGGAGCCCTGAGTGCTGCTGCTGCTCAGCAGCGGCACGGGGAGGCCCGGCGAGCTGCGGAGAGGGCAGAAGGTGAGAAGTTCAACTTTGCAACTTTTCCAAGAGAGTCATTGGGGCCCCCGCAGCCAGGGCCACAGGAAAGCTAAAGGGGGCCCGCCAGGCCCAGGACTTCACGCAGCCACTGCAGGGGGGCCCCCAAGAGAAGATTTCTTTTCCCTCAGTGGGCCAAACTTGAATCTGAATTTTCAACTTTTTGCACAGCGAGGCCCCCAGTCCCCAGTGCCCAATTCTGGGGAGGCTGAAGTCAAGGACTTGTGAGTTTTGCAAAGAATTAAAGGACTAATTAGAAGAATTATTAAAAGAATTAAAAGAACTAATAAAAGAATTAAAAGATTTAAAAGGTTTAAAACTTTGTTTAATTCGTTTTAATTCAATTCAATTCAAATTCAACTTCAGACAGCTGCCCGCGGAAAGGCCCCCCCAGCGTAATTCAGCTTCTCCCGCTGCAGCAGCTCGAAATGCGAAATTCAAATTTTGAATTTGAATTCAAATTTGAATTTAAATTTAAATTCAAATTTGAATTTAAATTAATTAATTAAAACAGAGAAGCCAGAGGCCTTGAAGGAGGCTGAAGAAGTCGCAAATGAAGTGGAGAAAACCCTCGAAGTGAGGATCTTTTTGAAATTAAATTTCAACTTTTGAAAATTCAAAATGCAAATTCTTCAAATTAATTGCAAACAGGAAAAGGGCCCTTTGCAGCCCCTAGAGGAGGCCCCAGAAGAGGCGGAAGCAGACGCGGAATGAGCAGCAGCAAACTGGAATTTGAATTTGAACTTTTGCTGCAGAGCTTTTGTTCAAAGTTTAAAATCAAAATTTAAATCTAAATTTAAAAAAGCCCTTTGCCTGCATGCGCTGAGCAAAGTAGAGGGAAAATGCAGCAAAATAAGGGCCCTATTGTCTGGGAGTTTTCCGGAAATGCAGAAACAGGAAAAGAGAAAAGGAAATTTTAATGAAAATGCTGTTAATGGCATTATTGGCCGCCGCGGGGCCTTCCCTTCTAAACAGAAGAAAACAGAAATGCAAAAGACCCAAACTGAGGCTTCAGCTTTGGCCTTCTCCTCCAGATCCTGAAAGTGGAATTAGGCAAAAACTGCAGCTGCTGGACTTCGAAAAGGTGAAAAAGAGCTGGAGTCGCGGAGTTTCAGGAGTTAATTTGCTCGAATATTCAATTATAATTGCTTAAGTGAGGCTGGAAGGCTTTTTCTGCAGTTTTTGATGCACTTAAATTTGTTTTCAGCGGCAGCTCGCGAAAGCGCGACGGTTCAGGTGTACGTACACCCCAAGAACCCGAGGCGGTTTCAAATGCAACTGCGGCGAGTGCGCAGAAGTGAAAAGGAAATTAAATTGAATTAAAGATGAAAGTTGGCGACTTTGGGACTTTAATTGTAATTTTAAATTTTATTTTTCCCGTAAATGCTTTAGTTGTTCGAAGTCGCGCGAAGTAAGCCTCGTTTCGCTCGCTTTCGACTTGTTCAGAACTGAACACGAAAGCAGAATCGACACGTTGGCGAACATCGGGCATTTCATCCCGACTTGCGACTCTCTGGTGGTGAGAAGCTCTTTTTTGGATTTTAATTTCAAAAAATAATTTATTTATTTCTTTCTTTCCGCAAAAACAGCCGGAGTCGAGCACGTCGGCGACAGTGTGCTGGTCCTCCTGCGGGGCCGAGCCCGGGGAGGCAAGATGCAGCGGCCAGGGGGAAAGTGGGGCATTTTTGTTTGAAATAAAATAAAATATTAAACAAAACATAAAATTAAATTTATTTAAACGCTTTTAAACCAATTTTCACGGTTTTATTCCCCCCAGGCTGGCAGCGCTCCTTCGTCGTGCGCAGCAGACCGCTGAAGCAGACAGCCAAGGGGACCCACAGTAACTGGCCTTCCCCTAAAATTGAATAAAACAATTAAATTAAAATTAAATTAAAGTCACTGCAAGTCACTCCCTAACTAAGCAGCAGCAAGCAGCAGCAAGCAGCAGCAAGCAGAAGCAAGCAGCAGCAAGCAGCAGCAAGCAGCAGCAAGCAGCACCAGCAACAGCGAAATAAAGTTGAACAGTTGTGTTGCTGAGCTGTACGTACACCCCACGCAGGATGCTCGCAGCGGGAAAGAAGGTTTTTGTGTTCTTTGTTGAGTTCCCGGAACAAAGAGTGCACAGAAGAAGTGGCGAAAAAGGTGAAAGTTTGCACTAATTGCATCAATTAAACTAATTAAATTAATTGAAGGAAGTGAAATAATTGAATCAATTACGTGCTGCACCTTTAACGGAACTAATTCCTTTCAAACTGAACAAACCGGCCTGCATGCGTTTTGAGGTGTACGTACAGCTGAAGCAAGGCGCAAGTTGCTACACCAAGTGCGGAGAGCCCCAGTGCCCCCCAGGGGACTTTCGGGAGTTGGAGCCTTCGGAGGACTTTAAAGTGAGTTTAATAATTTTAAACTTTTAATTAAATCTTCTGCAGCGGCAAAATGGCATTTTAATTCAAATCAAAATCCCATTTTGCTGCTGCATGAAAGCGCCGAGGTTTGCTGCTTCAACTCCCCGCAAACTCCCCACACACAACTCATCTCACGCCCCTGCTGCTGCTGCTGCTGCTGCTGCTGCCGCTGCTGCTGCTGCTGCTGCTGCTGCTGCTGCAGTATATGGACTGCGAAGGAGGGGCCCACAGAACAAGATGCGAAATTAGAAAAGAAGAAAAAGTCCTCGAGTTCAATCCTGTGGCGGTGCCTTTGACGGTGCCGGTGGAGTGAAATTCATTGTTTATTTTTATTTCTTTTTCTTTTTTTTTTTTTTTAATTTTTTTTTCATTCTTATTCTTTTCTTTTCCTTTTTGTTGGGCTTTATCTTCTTTCTTTTTCTCTCATTTGTTTCTCTTTTGAGTTTTTCATTTTCTGCTTTTTCCTTTTTTCGTTTTCTTCTTCTGCTGCTTTTGGGTCTCTTTCTTCAAGTCCTTTCGACCCTCTTAAATAGTGAGAAATCTGCAAATATATATTTGCATTTATTTAAATTCTTTTGCTTCATTTCCTTCATTCTTTGCATGCAAAATAACAATTTAAGTTTCTTCTTTTTTGTTTCTGTTCCTTCGCTTTTTCATTTATCTTTTATTTCCACTTCTCTGCGAGCCCCCGCCAGGTGTATGGACACCTTTCAGGTGTATGGACACCTGAAAAGGGCAAAAGGCTGGACGAGAAAGCAGCAAAAGAAACAGCAAAAGAATAAAAGAAGGAAAAGCAGCAACAAAATAGAAAAAGGAATTTAGCTGAAAGCAAAAGAATCTTTTTTGCTGCTTCGAAAAAAAAGAAAATTCAAAAAGTCTTGCTGCGCAGTTGGGATGTATCGACAGGTCGCGCGCAGATGCAGAGGCCCTTTCAATGCAATTAAAATAGACAAATAAATTCATTTAACTGCAGAATTATAAAAATGAATTTATTTTGCAAATTAAATCCCCATTTTGCGCAGAAGAATTAAAATGAAGAAAACAGCGGCGCCGCTCCGGCCAGTTCCCGCGCTCCTCGGGTGTACGTACACCTCAACTCTAGCCCGCAAGCAGTTTTTGGAAATAAAAAAATTAAAAAAACAAAAGTTCAAAATAAATGAAAAGACAAAAAGGTGTAATTCAGAGAAAAAGCACTAAAAATGTAAATAAAGCCCAAGTGCTCAGTTGAATGACAAATGAAATATATTTAGTTAAATCATTTATTTCATTTTACGGGCAGCTGCGCGTGCGGAGAAGACAACTGCTGCTGCTGCTGCTGCCGCTACTGCAGCAGCAGCTGCAGCAGCTGTTGGTGCTGCTGCTGCTACAGCAAAAGCAGCAGGCAGTGCTGCCGCTGCCGCAGCAGCAAAAGCAGCAGCTATTGCCACCGCTACAGCAAAAGCAGCAGCACCAGCTGCTGCTGCTGCTGCTACAACAGAAGCAGCAGGCAGTGCTGCCGCTGCTGCAGCAGCAAAAACAGCAGCTTCTGCCGCTGCTCCTGGCGCAGCAAAGCAGCAGCTGCTGCTGCCGCAGCAGCAGCAGCAGCAGTTGCTGCGGCAGCAGCAGCAGCAAAAGGCTGGGAAGGCGGGGAAGCCGGCTCAAATGAAAATGTTGGAGAAGTGCATAGCAGCAAACCTGTCTGCGTCTTCCCTGGCTTTTGTAAAAGTTGTTTTTGGATCATCCAAAGACAAATAAAACTCCCTTTCTCCCATTTTGCTGCTCAGCAGCCAGCCCTGCTGCGCCTCTTTTGCTGCTAAAGCCCTCACAGAGGCTGCCACGCCCGCGCTGCTGCTTCCTGCTGCTGCTGCTGCTGCTGTTGCTGCTGCTGCGGCTGCGGCGGCGGCGCTGCTGCCCTCGTCCTCAGCGCCCTCGCCCGCAGCAAACAAGGCGCTCCTGCTGCTGCTGCTGCTCGGGCTGCAGGGACCGCTGCTGCTGCTGCTGCTGCTGCTGCTGCTGTGGGCGGGCGGTGCGGGGAAGAGCTGGGGCTCTGCAG